CTTGGCTGGCTTAGGAGAGTTCTGTGACCTAGCATATGAGCCGATTCCTTAAGTTTTCATATTTTCCAGTAATGTTCTGTTTATTATTTCAATCTCATCCTTTTCCCTTTATATATGGTCAGCCTGGAAATAGAATAATCTACCCCTATTGGTTAAATAAAGGGTTCAGCTCAAAATTCCAAAGTATATCACCTGAAGAAGGCTGGAACATACAACGACCAAAACCTTATGAATATCATAATAAAGATGAAGACAACAGTCTGAACAATGTAAATAGTGTAACCAGACAAAAGTATTCAGATTCTAGCAGTTTTAAAACATTATTTTTAAATTGAATCTCAAAGCCATTGAAACTGCTTGCAGAATTTTGTAAGTGGAAGTAAATGAAACAATATTTTACTGTAAAAATATCATACTGATCAAATTTAGTTGAAGTTCAAAAGGGTGTTTATCTATCTATTCCTTGAAAAAAAAGTCTGGAAAGGGACAACCAGCAGTTACTGATTACAATACAATAACTCAACTATAATGTTTCAAAATCTTAAGAGTTAGGATCATCAAAACATACCATATATAGATCAGTATAGATTTCAGAAAAGCTAGGATCATCAAATGTACATGTAGAGCATTATGTAAGTTTCAATAAATAGAGTTGATTTAAAACACACACAAACACACTTTTAATATAACCCAATAGCAGAAAAAATGCGTGCAGTATTAGATTCACTTATTTCAAATGTAGTGTTTAGGACAGAACCAGATAGGATCAGGCATAAGGAATTATGGTTCAGTTTTTTTTTCTTTTTTTAGGTGATGGAAGTGGGTGTTATGCTATAGAAGTAATTAACCTTTATCACTCTATAGGTAACTTAATTTGCTATACAAAAAGTTTATCCTGTCACTGAAGGTGACTCTGATCCCTAAACAATAGTGTTTTTAAATTTCATAGTTGTGTTGTCATGTCCTACTATGGCAACAGAAAACAACTTTGAGAGAAATTAACAATAAGGATACTGCAATTGAGATGCCTTGAAAAAGAATACAGTGAAAAGGGAAGTATTAATGTATTAATAAAGGTTTTAACTGTATTTTGTCTTTCTTTTTATAACAAACTTATCAATAATGCCATTATTTACTTTTATAAAAGATTTAAGGCAATAAAGAATTCATTTAAATTTCTTTTTTTTATAAAACCATCAAAGAATATGAAAATAACAAAAAAAAACAAGTTATGGTTTTGATGTATCAAAGATTTTTAATGAATCATTCATCTAATAAAGATACAAAAATATTTTTTAACTCTTCTGTTGCTATGGGCATACTTATACATCTTTATGAAAGTTACATTGCCTGCTGTTGATGTGTTGATGTATATATATATATATATATTTTCAAGACACCGGGAAGTGTTGGTCACTAACATTTGTGTTATAAACTTACTGGTAGCACTTAGTGCAGACACATTGTAGCATACAATACAACTTATTTTACAACATATTTTTATTTTATTGCATGTTGAGGTGTTGTCTGTTCTGCTAAGTATCCAATCAAAATCAAAATGGTAGCACCCTTGAGAAATTGCTGTCACCTTCAGTGGAGTGGTTTTCCATGGCCTTTTTCATGATTTAGAACTCAGATTTGTCCTTCATCTAGACTGGTTGCTAGAGAACCCAGTCTACTATATTATTTAACCCATAGCTGTTGGGAGAAGAGATGGGTTCATGCCTTTCACAAAGACATTTATGAGAAAGTTAATTTTACAGATGAGGCAAGAATTTGAACGTAGCTATCCAATTTTATTTTCCACACCAATTCCACAACACAAACATACATCCTTTTCATAACTATTTCCCTTTAATGCTTACCATTTTTACTAGGTTCTTGTCAGTGGTAGAGAACAATGGCATTTTACTCTAGCCTAATTATCTGCCTTATGTTCCAGTGCATAAGACACACTTTTTACCCTCAGATTTGATGTCAAAATCTGCTTACATCCTATACATCAAAGATATGAATAATATATATTTTGCTAAAATCCCTAGTGAACAAAGTAAAAGACTTATACTTGTAGGTGAAGAATTCATGCGAAAAAATAAAAAATAATATAGTGATTAAGTCTAAGTGTAGTATTAGTAACACAATGGATGGGACTGAGGATGACGATCTTTTTGATCAAGATATTGAATCCAATGATGACATATTTGATTCCTTTCCAAGTTAAAGTGAAAGCCATGAGGATATTGTAGATTTTCAACCAACCTTAATAACAGTAAACAATATTTTTTATTTACATTATTTTCTTATTTTGCTGCTTTGAGCTCTTTTGTGTTTAAAAGTATTAGACTGAAGTTTTCTTCAATAAAAATATTTTAAATACAACTGTAGTTTATTTATTCCCAAAATAAAAGATGAATCTCATACATATATATTTTTAAAATTATGGTAATGGCTAATATCAGTCTTGACAGACAGTAAACACTAATTTGATAAGCAAATATCTTTAAATGAAAGTATAAACAGAAAATCAGAATTTTATTGCTTTTCTTACCCCGATGGACAACCTCATTGATGTGACACCAGTGTACTGCCCTACACAACTGGTAAGTGTAGCTACGGACTTTGTCCAAAGGAAGACCAGAAGAATTAAGTTCCAACAGTTCCAGTAGATTCTGTGGAGAAAAAGATTTCTTAAAATAAAAAGTAATCAAAATACCTTTTACAGTCAGTAAAACTTTTTGTTTACTACTACTAATAATAAAAAGAATATGAAGGTTAACAGATTATAGAGTTGTGTGTGTATTTTAGGTGAATATGTTTGTTTAATATGTAAACAAGTAGAAGCATACAAAACTTGAGTTTCTACTATGGACATTTATTCTTTTCATGGTGATTGTAGTGAAACAAAGTTCTCAATATATCTTGGATATATCCATTTCATTTTAGGTTCAGAAGTTGGGATAACAATGGTTAAAATGGTCCAGTTCAAGTCAACTTTGCACTGAGATACCAATTCATTTACTAGGGCTGCCAAAACATGTCTGAACAATGTCATTGGAAAGTGGAAAATAAAAAGATTCTGTCCTTTCTGGAAATGGGGTCATAAAATCATGTATGTGACCAGAAACCCTTTTTAGTTTCTTTATAACTTGCATCGTGTGAAAATTAATTTTGTTGTTGTTGTAATTCTTTATTATTTTATTTATTGGTTTTATTTCATTTTCCCCACCAGAAGCCTTCCAATCTAACTTTAATATGGTCATTACTGGATTAAATATTTGGACTTTTAATTAATGGCATCTTATGCTTTCATTAGAAATTGAGATACAAGAATATTTGTTTGATTTTATTAAATAAAATTAACTATACTATAAAATATGGAGTTAATGCACGTCCTCAGCACTGGGTTTGTTTTTGTTTTTTTTCCTCTTAGAAATGCTATTCGATACAATGGACACACATGTGAGTCAGAAGCAATATGTAATATGACTAGGGGATGCACTACCATTAAAACAAAAACCACTGACTCCATCAAAAAAAAAAAAAAAAAAAAAAATAAAAAAAAAAAAAAATAAAAACGTTATTACATTAGTGTTGCATTAAGCCAAAATTATTGCAATAGTATTTATCAAGTTGGATTAAAACTGTTAAATTGAACCCTTTAAGGCCGGAAGCACCCAAATATGTCAGTAAGTTTCACATGATTGCAGTACTGAAGCATGAGACCATGCCCGCAATCTGGTAGAACTCTATTTAAATACACTCTGTTAACACTCATTACATGATCACCAGAAATCTACAACTTTGTAAAAATTACAGAATTCCAAAATCATTAATATGAAGGAGGCTAAATTTGGTATCATTTGAAATAGAAATCAATTTACTTTCACATAAAATCAATTTTTAATACTAGATTTTCATTGGTTTTTGAAGATAGATCAATTTAATTGTCTTCAGTCAGTCAGTGATACATGCTTAGGCAATCATGTATCTTTCAATACATGACTGACGAGGCAGATTTTCTCGCAGTAGGTTGCCATTTCTTTCTGTGGTAGACCAGTTGCCATCCAAGGCTATAGAACCCCGTCTGTCCTGATATTTACCCATAGCTGGTTGAGAAGAAGAGGATTTATACCTTTCCCAAGGGTATTAGCATGTAAGTGAACATAATGGATTTGACTGGAATTCAAACTCGGTTTTCAGATTCCTCAATCTGAGCCACTATCCATTACTTCACTATACCTCCTAATTATCTTAACATCAAATATTCAGATTTTTCCTCAATTTGGTCAGGACTCTAGGGTTTTAGCAACTGAAATCTCTTAAGAGCTGATAGGATTAAACAGAAAAAAAAATGTTACAAAATTATTGTCAAGATAATTTATATTAAATATCTAAAATGATATACCTTTTCAATATATTCAAAAACCAGATAAAGTTTCCCTTTCTTTTTAAAGGCTTCTCTCAGCTCAACAATGTTCTCCTGACGTAAAGCACGTAGCATTTTTAATTCCCGCAATGTAGTCTTCTTCACTTCTTCATTATCTGGGATAAAAAGAAGAAAAAAGAAAGAAAGAAAGAAAAATAGCAAGTCAATGCACACACAAGTTGGCCAATAATCAAAAACAAAATATTAGAAACAATTTCTGACTTTGCCATCATCTCAGATTAAGACTGAAACTTTATGCATGAAACAATAAAAAACACATTTGGAAGCATTAATAATTGTTTCAGTTCCTGTTTTAAGCTTTGATAACACAGCAATATATATGTAAAATGAGCTGACAAGACTATATTTAAATAGTTTTTTGTTTTTTTTTATAAGGGTGATTTCCGTAAACTGGCATTTCTGTGGTCTGGCAATAGCCTGGTACCAAGGATACCAGATTTAGGTTAAACTGTATTTTTATAATTAATGAACTGAACCTATAGAGATTACACATTCCTTGACAACTAAGATTATCTATTACTAGCAGCATGACCCGGCGTTGCCCGTGCTCGATTCAAAAATAGAATGACTAATACAGCAATCACTATCACTTGACTTAAAATAGTTTTGCCCTTCCTTGCCTTTAGAGGAGTGCCCTTTGCCATGCTGATGTTGTTACATGCCTTACTTCTTGCCTATATCACACTGGCAACTTTTTCTAAGCTCTATAGTAAACATTAAATCTGTTATGAAAAAAGAACTAAACAAAATAAACGCAATACAATCAGCTTTAAAAAACCGGAAAAAACATTTTTAAGGGTTGACCGATTGTCAATTTGCACTCTGTTTGGGGGGTGCTTAGAGTTGAAACTTCACATGATGACTCCCAATAGCCTCTTCATAAATCCGCTGAGTTTTCGCTAAAAACCGACATGCAGTTCAGACGCAATCTGGGCGTATCAGTTTTTGAGTTTTATCGATTTTCCGCGCTGTTTAGGGGTCCATGGTCATGAAACTACTGGACAACACTTCTAATGGTAGACTCTAAGAGGGTGTCAAATTTGGTTGAAATGCGATCATTCCTTCTGTAAGCATAATTTTTTCGATTATCGATTTTTTTGATTATCGATTTTTCGGAAACTGATTCCGAACTCAAAAATCGGGCTCTGTCATGTCCTTATGGCAGCCATTTGCAAACTTGTGTTGAAAACCACATCAAAATCAGGTGAGAAATGCGGCCTGGGTGAGGTAACAACGCCCACGACAGACACATAGGCAGACAACATGAGAAATATACATAGTAGATTTTATGTATCTTCTCTCATATTTTACCTGTATCTTTTTATTCGTTTCCTTATAATGTTTTCTTTGTGACCATATTTTTTATCTAAGTGTAGCACAAACATGGACTAATTTCATATTTTTTAAACTAAAATTCACCCAACACAAGCCTCAAGAACCACTCAAAGTAGAGGTTTACTGTTAAAATGGTAATGATGAATAATGTGTGTTGTAAGAAATGAAGATTATCTGGATAATGTAGATTGAGGAAATGACAGGGAGTCAACTCTGTGGAATTGGTATGGTATGTCATAGCTATAAATGTTGTCTAAATTGGTGGAACTAAAGAATGGACCTCATCTGAACATTTCTCATGGAAATCTTGTAGCAATAGCCTGGTAATGTTGGGTCCATGGAAAAGAACTTGCAGAATGGAAAAGAATTCTTCCCCAACAAGACAAGTGCTAAGTTTGCTGCTAGGAAAGTTGGTTCACTGTGTTGTGCTAAACAATTTTTCTCTCCAGAATCTATATAACATTCATAAGGCTACTATTTGTCTATGCTTCAAATATTGATGCTACATATGGTGCTTCTGCTATATATTCAGAGATTTTTTATAAAATCCAAAGAATCTGCAATGTTATTGATCCTGACATAGCATCTCAGCTTCATTCACTTGATCTTGTGAACTTTTATCGTCAGTTAAATTTACTCTGTGATACCTAAACTTTATAAATTTAAGCGCAGTACTAGATTGGCCAAAAAGTCATCATTTTACAGCTGAATTGGCTAGATGTAACTGTAAGTTCTTTACTAACAGTTTTATTTCTTGCATGTCTCACCTGTGGAACTCTCTTCTGGCTTCTTGCTTTCCAGCTATCTTTGATCTTCAAAAATTTAAATGCAATGTCAATTATTATGATTCCTCTTTTATTGTTTTCTCCCCTTAATAATATTTTTCTTTTACACTCAGTAAACCCTTGTGTCGTAGTGGCTTTATTGCCTTGCTTGAGGTGAAATGATAAAAATAAAGACCATGTAAATGATTTTGATTTATATCAAGGCTAGGAAGTGAAGATTGAGCAGATCCATAAAAACAGAAATAAGGAATGCACAAATATTTTCTAAAGTATCCTCTCTTTCACCTTTCTTTACCTCTATATCTCCATAAAGAATTTTATTTTATGCAACTTTTATACCTTTCTATTCCAATCTACCTTTCAATCTTTATATTCATTCTCTCTTTATATTTAGCCAGTAAACCTGTCTATCTCTTTCTTTTCCATCTCTTTCCCATTTCTATATATGCATACTTTTTCCTTTCACCTGGTTTTATTTTTATTTTTCGCTAGTTTTCTTACATTTCCTTCTTCACACCTCTTTCTACTTCGCTTTTTCCAATTCTATCCCACTTAATATTATTATGCAAGAGATTGAGCAGATAATACACTAATTTGAGGCAGATTATAACAGTAATACATTCAAACAGAATAACAACATAGATAATTCATTTTTTACATCTTTTAGGAAAGACAACTCCAAAACTGGCATTTAAAAAAACAAGGTTGAAAAAACATTAAATATAAAGTTTATGTACAAAGCAATGTTTTTCTTCAATCAGAAATAAATTTCAAAATAAGGACCTTCATATTTTAATAAATTTACTTTTTAATTATTCAATATTTAAGAGACATAAATATTTATAGTTACTCTTACATCTCAAAGCAATAAAGTTGAAATTTCTTACCTTCACCTTCTTTAAACTTTTTGATTGCTACAGTATCTCCTGTTATCTGTAAAAGGAAAAACAATTTTGATTATAATAAAAACAGGAGAATGAAAAGAGGATGAAAATTAGATAAATACTCATACCACATTATATTATAGCAATCAAACATAGTCTACAAAATACATATATAATCTCTGAAGAGTTCAGACTATAATATTTTTGTGTGAAATTTTCTATGAACAATTTTTTACTGAAGTGGTACAAGAAATGTGAAAATAAAGTTGAATTTTAAAAGGTACTTATCAACAGGGTGAATATAGACACTTAAATGGTTAATGGTGGCTATGTTTTTTTTCTTAGTTATAATTTTTAATGAATAGTAGTCTTAACTAACAAAAAGTAAACACATGAAATTGAAATATTTAGAAAAAATATATTTTTTTAATATAATTCTAGAAGCAGTCTTTATAATAATAGTATCCATTATCAAGAAATAGAATCTAAATAATAATAAGTAAAATAAATTTGCTGACTTATACTATGACTGCCTTGACACCAAGTTTTGTAGAATTATATCCCCTCTTCAGAAGACATTCCGAGTGGATGTAATTCAACAAAACTAATAGAGACAGTCATCAGTGCACAAATTCATTATACATCTTTTCATCTGAAGATTACCTTATCATCACAATTTCAGATCAGAGTCTTTAACCATTTTTGGGTGTTTGTTGTCATTATATATATATATATATATATATATATATATATATATATATATATTAGTTTATGCAAATTTAGGTAATCCGTATGGGTAGACCTGAGGAGGATGATATCCAGAGAGCTCAATATAAAATTCAGAGCAGATATGTTTGAATAAAAGACAGACCACGTTAAGATTCCATGTAATAAGCTATTTCACCATAACCCCTTTAACAGGGTTCTGGATCATCAGACTTTACTTCCAAAAGCTGAAATGAAAAATGAAAAGAAATTCACACGTTTTTTACGGACCTCATCAAGTATACGCAAAGTTAACGAAGTGAGGAAGTGACGTGGGAGAGAGGGTATGAGTGTGCCATATGTATCATTTTAGTTTCCTATTTTAACCCCAGTGTGTCGGCTGGATGTTGCTCAAATTTAACGCGTCTCGTCTCTAGATAAAGGTGGCTAAGGGGTGAACGATAAGAACTACATTAAAGGAAGACGTTACAACAACCCCAATAAATTACACGACAGGTTTCATTCAAATTCTTAGACGTTGTCAGTTTGCGTTACTTTAACATGCATATTTGGGAGGTTACGGTTTGATAAATATCTAAATTTTAAAACAATCTACGAAGGAATTAATTTGAAATTCGGTGGAGTTTTGGGTATTTCCTATGAAACAGTCGATTGGAAAAATCCATAGACAGAACATTGAAAGAGCAATCCAATTTATATTTAACCATTTTTTTTTTTTTTTTTCCACTAAAACTTTTATCTTATAGCTTGTTAGGTTGACATTTATTCGTTTGATTTTTGTTCATTAAGTAAACTCGTGATTGTTTTTGATTTTTGTTCATTAAGTAAACTCGTGGTTGTTTTTATGTACCCAATTATCAATAGTTATTCCCATTTAAATAATTTTATTCTCCACACTGGGGTAGTATCTTTCAATCTCAATATATATATATATATATATATATATATATAGTATGCATGTGTACACACACGCACACTCAAAAGACATTAATTGAAAGTTTCAAGTACTAAAAAAAAAAAAATTGATGAAAAGTTTCTCTATTTTCTCATGGAGTGATCTTGATAGAGGTATGAAATGCACAAGGAAATGCTGAATAATTTGACAGATGAGCCAAATTACTAAAAGAACAAAAAAAAAATAAACTATATAGTGAAATTCATCAAACTTCTGGGTAGAACTTTTTACACACTATATATATAAAAACTAGGAATTTAATTATTTATTTATTAATCCAACAGATTTTAATAATTAAAAATCATTTTTAATTGATACTCATATTGAGTAGACATTATCTACACATTTATATAATTCAGGAAATGTGTAGGAATTTTTATTTATTTTAAGTGTTAAAATTTTATATAATTTGATGAAGTACAAAATTTCAGAAATGTTATTTTTCTACCTAAAGTTTGAACAATTTTTGCTATTGTATCTGCATGTAATGTCTTGAAAGTCCAGCATTGCAAATAGAAAAAGACTTTTTGCCTGTGTGTGTGTGTGTGTGTGTGATTAAAACAAAAATTATCTCACAGAAAAAAACAACACAGTTGACCAGGATATTTCTGGAAGATTACATTTTAAAGTCAAACAGTCTTTGCAATATCACATCAACAGTAAAAAATAGTAACAAAATTAAATGTTCACTTATCTCTGCTCAGAGTTTCAAAATTACACCCACTCATGATTGTAAAATTTTACAATCTCTGAAAAAGTGAATAGGGATAAATAAACATTCATTTTATTTTTTACTATCACATTTACCCTGTACATTTTGTGAGTCACTCAAGGTAGAGGTTACAGATTAAGATGCAAGGTTTATGCAGATATATGGGAAAGATAACAATTAACCCTAGAACAGGTTCAGGGAAGCATTGTTTGAGCAGCAGTTTGTGGGAAGAAGCTGCTTGAGTGGGACCTACATCTCCCCAAAGGAATACAGAGGGAATGAGGGTTGTTCACTAGAATGTGCGTGGCATGTGGGGGGGGGTCTTAGCTATGAAGGTAAGAACTGGTGGAACTAAGGAATCTAGTTTATCAAAACACTTTCTATGGAAATGGTGACAGAGCAGCAAGAGGCTTGCATTGTTTTGTCTGTGAGAAAGAAGTTGTAAAGTGAAAATAATTCATTACCCACAAGAACGTGGAGACACTTTTGGATTATACCAAGACTGGAAATTGAAGACTGAGCAGCTCCTGCTAATAAATGACAGTAATACTTCATTTTTCAGCTTGATCTGGTGCTTATAAAATGGTAGAGGGTAGCAGGAGGAGTCAGGAATTTATTGGATCAATGTAGAGAACTGACCATTTTTTCACTATCTTTAACAATGGATCATACCAAACTTAGTCAAACTGTGTGTGCATGTATGTACCTTATATAGCACAAGCCAATATAAGGTACTCAACAAAAACATACACATATACATTACATCACTCCCTCCTATAGAGGAGTATGGGACCACAGCTGTTAACATGCTCAGCATATCTGCTGTGGTTTCCATAGCAAGCCAATTTTTTGTCTCATGTCCAACTGGTTTTGAATTCTGAGTTGTCCTTCTTCTAGACTATTTAACCCATAGCTGAAGAATAAGAAAAACCAGGTGGATTCATACTTTACGAGGATATTTGCAGGAAAGTAAATGTAACAAATTCAACTGGAATTTGAACTTTTGTTTGTTAATTTCTTGTAAGCTACTAACCATTATACCACCTGCACATCCATTGTATACATTATACATTGCATACACACATGCAAAGTCACATACAGATAGTAGGTGATGGACAGAGAATCAACTTTCTTTTCATAATATAGATTATATATCCATCTTTCTCTTGGAAATATTAATTTATCATATTAACAAGAAATATCAACATCTTTATTTGTAGTAAAATTAATTAAGAAGTTATAAATATATTGATGAAAACATTTAAGCAGGTAATTGACACAATTATTAAGTGGACTGCATGCACACACACATAATTTTATATATAAGGACTCAAACAGTAATTCTTAACAGTAACATGACAGTCCGACATTAATCCCAAGCGAGCATCGTTAAGCACAAAAGTATCCTTTTGTTAAACTACTCTGGCCTTTGCACAAAAAATAACATTACAAATCAATAATAATAATGTTGGCAGGTCATTAAGTCCTGAAATGAGCTGATTTAATGATCAGGTAAAGAAATCAATGATTAATCATCCTTCACCTTCACTCATCTCCTGGGTGACCAGGTAAGAAAGTAGGAGGAAATGGATATGAATTAATAATGATGAAAAGATTGTATTTTCTTCCACAGGTCAGATATCAGTGTACAGGTTCAAAACAAACCATATGTAACATGTAAAATGGTAATGGAGAAAATGGACATTTCTATACAAAAAAAACATTGGGCATTCATTGACAAAACAGCATCACTCTCAATTGAACATATATAAAAAAAAAATCTTTCTTAAAACAGTCTTTCAGGAAATTAGACTTCAAATAAAACAGTGGATGTCTGTGTGTCAAATAAATCAGAGGATGTCTGTATGTGTGTATGTCTATCTGATACTTTCTCCCTCGAGATCCAGACAACCAATTTTGGCCAAACTTGGCACATACATTGTACAATGTAAAAGATAGGTTCTTAGCATAAAAATATTGATAATTTTTAAGAAATCAATAATCGATAAAGCCAATAAAAAAAATTGATAGATTCAACTTTTTGCCTCTGATTTCATTCAAACTCAGTATGTAGATTACTTACATCATGACGAGCTCAACAATACCCATTTTTATTTCTATGCCACTGTGTTTTGTCAAAAAATGTGAAAACAAAAAATTGATTTCAACACAAATCGATTTCATCACAAATTTTAAACTAAAATCTCCATCAATTTTCAAGCAATCTAATACAAACTTCACTCAATTGTAGCCAACAATAAGTTGATTAACAGTCATTTAACTTGATAATTGAGTCCACCCATATAGTGAAAACACATAGAAATAGTGAAAAATGACGATTTTTACTGGTTTCTTATTTTTATTGATCTTTCAACCAATTTTCATCAGACTTAACAATTGCTTTATGTATCCTCTTTTACATCTCTAGTAGAACACTAACAAAATGAATTGCAAAAACTCCAAAATAATTATGGTCTGAAGTGGGTCTTCATGTTGCCTGTTTTACCCCTTCATGTCCTCGGCTAACTTCAATTGAATAAATACAGACTACTTCTGTTATATCAGTAACTGCATTAATTCAAAATGTTTTTTAATGAAAGTACATTAAAGTAATTGAAGAATATAGACTGTTACATCTAAACATGATGCTGTTTTT